ACTCTACGGTGAAAAGTCTGGGAAAATACACCATAAATCTTTCTGCTTCATCCACATTTTATATTTTTTATCACCAGGTCTTAGACAATTCAGCAACAAGTAAAACACACTTGCAGAAATATTGTCGTCTTAAATAGGACTGACTCTTAAATAGGCACACACCCACTGCCCTTCTCCTATGGCCTCAGTGATATTTTCCTTGTCGCCTTTTTTATTCTGCAGGCTACTCAGCCGTCCTGTGATCTTGTGTACACACACATTACAGGTCTCTCCCTGACCAAACGAAGATGTTAGAACAGAAATAATGGAAATAATTACAGGGTTCTTCTAGTTAACAGATTCACTGAGTGTTATCCAGAGCTCCCAGTGTTGTCTTTAGATATTTGTAACTAACTGATTCTAATTTTTTTAAATGAAAGTCCTCAACAGCCCATGCTCAAACAAGATGAGCTTGCAGAGTCATATCAAAAGAGGTGTCATCAAGGTTAGGTGGACTTAAAAAAATACTAGCAACCAGAAACATTCCATGTAGACCAACTCTCCATGTTCTTCCAGATGCTAGATATTGAATAAATTAAATATCTGCATAAAACGGCCACCTCAGAAAGAAACAAAACAACACCAATCCCAGACCCACCTTCAATTCTATTATCCTACTGCACTGTCTGATGGCAACTGTAGCTGCTTTATAACATATCCCAGTTCTCCTCAGTCAGCTGAACTTCCAGCTGGACTTTGTCATCTTCAAACTGCAGCCAGCTTCTAGAATGCTTCTCTTGGACACAGGACGTGGTATGTTATGGAAACGTAGCCTGTCTATAAGCCATCTTATTACGTAGCAGGAAGCAGCACAGCAAGAAAATAGAGAACAGGAAGAGAAAACTGAAGACACAATCATTCTTCCATGCAATTGCCTCCCACTTGTCTGACAAAGTCTGAGCCACGATGGGCTCAAGGCACTGAGAGGTGATGGAAAAATGGCTCTAAACTTTGAAACTTCCATTGCTCTCAAAATGTTCTTTAAAGATATAGTGGATATGCTCAATTCAAATAATTCACATCAGTGAATTTAATTTCTGGAAAACAGACTTGTAGTTTTGTGCCTTCTCAGCTGTTCCAAGGTTTGAACAGTAAATAGAAAATGAAATCATGATTTGTTATAGGAGTGTACTGAAAAAAATAGGAGGGAGTCACAAATTCTGCAATTAGGCAGATGCCCTACAAGCCTCTTGTAGCATCCAAGACTGGGGGCAGACCAGTTTGAAATGTGATTAAGCCATCAGTATCTCACTTCTGGCTCTTGCGGCTGAAAGGTTGCTCTCAGAGATGTGTTATCCATTATGAATCAGAAATACGTTACCTAGTCTCTGATTATTTTTTTAGCTGAAGCATTCAAATCGGTGTCTGTCTTAGAAGGGAGAGGCTACCACTGACCTCCTACACTCCTCTGAAGCTACATATCTGTGTACATATCTTTCAAGAGAAGACAGGAACTACGCTGAGCTAATGAGAAGATCCCAGGAAGGACACAGCTTGAGCACTCCTTGAAGAGCAATCAACAGTTAAATTCCAGGCAAAGGCTGACTCACACCTCTCTCCTCTCCTGGCTGCTACGAGGGAATCAAAACAAGGCAGATAACCTGCTGCAAACCCTCCTCTCCTTTCTGAAGTAAGGTGTGCCCTTACGTTGGTAAGACTGGACGTGCATGTAGTAACAAGTGGTCAGGAGTACCAAATAATGCTGTTGGCAACCTTCACTGACTAAGGACAGACCTGCATGTCGCTGTTAGCCAGTGCAGACACCGCCAGGTGCACACCATTTTACGACAACAAGGGCGCTGAACTCTGAAGTCGAAATAAAGATGCTTCAGAAATAGATATGAAAGCTTTAAGAAACATGAACTAGGACTTCCCATGCTGTTACTTGTGTAGGACAAAACGACCCCCAGTAATGAGCTCTCTTGCAGCACTTGTGAAACTTGAGTTAGTGAGCTGTGTTACGCAGGCTTCTCGACGGGGGAACTGTGAAGTAACTCCAAGACAAAACAAGCCCAATGCACATGTATCCCACTGCCAGTCAACCAGGCTCAAGCAACCTTGGGCAACTTTTCCCCAGTACTTTCCCAGTGCTAGCTTCGGTGTGGTGCTTCAATGCCAGCGTGCTACAGGACTGATGTGTCCGTACAGAACATTGAGGTCCTTTAAACGGGCAGAGACAGGGGGGTGGTTCTCTACTGATTTCATCCCAACAGTAAAATCCACCAGGCAACTGTCCCCTTTACTCCCCCCAACACACTTACCTGACAAGGTGAGATTACCCAAATCGTTTACTTTTTCCACATAGTACTACAAAGTGTGGAACATTCTTGCCCTCGCAAGAGTACTCAGCAGCACACAGACATGCTATCCTTTATATTCCCTCTGATGCTGTAAGAAGGCCTTTTAGCTACCTACAATACATACAGGGAAAGCCTTCCAACTCCCAAGTGTACAGACAACACTTTATGTTCAATTTTTAAGACCTAACTTTGTTTAAAATACAAAAAAACATACGTCTGTGTACCACCACTCTCACATACTACCGGCCATATCATTGCTAGTCCCTATCAAAAGATTAATGTGAATTTAAACGCTACTTGTCAAAAATAAGAAAACAAGTTCTTATTATTTCTTAACTTTCTGCTACTGGATGGAACACAGCTGACAACATTACTTACAAAAAATCCCTGAATAAAACCTCTGACATTGACAGTTTTCTTTTCCTATTGGCCTGCCTCCAATTTTTTATGCTTGTATTTTTAATGATCCATTTTTGACATTTAGTTACTGAGAACATTTGAACTCCAGTAACGCAACAGGATCACTGTAAGTGATTCATGTCTTCACAAATCAGACCTAGACGAGAACAGCTCAGCTATAGGCTTAGACTGCGTTTTTTGTCCCTGGGTCATGACAAGAAAAATCCCCTGTGCACATACTGGAGAAAGAGGCATGAAAAGTTCTTCCCTTAGGTAGGTGAGGGTGTGTAAGCTAGTGTTCCCTTTAAAGGACTGTAGGTGTCTGGCATCTGATGACTGGTAAAATGCTAATGGTAATGGTATCTTAGTTGTACTCCTCAACATCTGCTAAGCCCTTGGTTTCACCTTGTAAAATAAAATGGAGATTATGCTGCTTTCACTGAGGCCGTAATTTTGTGTTTTGTTTGGTTTTTTTTTTAAAAAGAAAAAACTCTGACAGATCGCTTGCATGCTTTTATATGAAACCGCAAGGAAGAAAGCAAGCATGAAAGTGAAAAGAAAGGAAAAACTTGAGAAACCTCACCTTGTAAAATAAAATGGAGATTATGCTGCTTTCACTGAGGCCGTAATTTTGTGTTTGGTTTGTTTTTTTTTTTAAAAAAGAAAAAATTCTGACAGATCGCTTGCATGCTTTTATACGAAACCGCAAGGAAGAAAGAAAGCATGAAAGTGAAAAGAAAGGAAAAACCTGAGAAACCAAAGCTTGTGGCCTGGTGCTTACAATTCACAGGCATGAAGCAGCAACACCACAGCTATTGCTTTGATCTATCTCCCTATTAATTCTTCTTCCCATTATAGAACCCCTGACATTTCACTGGTATTCAGATGCGATTAAAATATATTCTAATACCTATGAATAGAAATGTTGGTTCAAGTACTAATTAAAAACAAATCTGGGTTTTGGAAACCTGTATCAACAAAAAAGTAAAAAGGTGCAGTAAATGGCAACAGTTGAAATGTCCATTTTTTTCTGAGAAAAAGCTAGAAAAAGTTCTATCCGTCTTTACGCTAATGTTTGAATTCCCAAGTGTTTATAAGTGTTCACCCAGCAACTTCAGCATAAGACCAACAAGAGAGATTTTGCTCTCTCCTTCAATTTTAATTATTGCCATAAAGTTCCAATTATAGCAGGGTAAGTCATGCACACTGACTTTCCGCAACTTTCACAGTAGTTTTTAATTAAACAAGAGTCAAATGTCATGTTAAGTTTACCGTGCTCCCTCATTGCACATTAGTTTGATCATAAGCTACTTCAAAACTAACCCTTGTTTATATATAAATCTACACATCCTTTATTTTCATGACTGATTCCGTCTTCCCACCTCCCCTTCTGAATACTATGTACTCGAAGCAAAGACTCATTGAAAGGGGGCCTTCAGCCACAATTTCTGCTGCCTTAGTTGTCACAGCTGCCCCAGCTTGAGAAATCCATGGGACTCTACAAAATAGCCAGCACTGCATGTGGTAATAAGGATTTACTGGTTTGCCCCCCAAAGACATTAAGCTCTTTGGAGCAGGGATGCTAGCTTCATATGTGTCTGTGATGGGGAAGGCACATTTACAGTATCATATAAAACAGTGTTTTTCCTCAGGGACTGTTAATATCCCTGGCACTTACTAGAAGCAATTGTGAAGAACTGATTCCCCCTTAAACTCATGCCCAAAACCAGAACATACTGTAGCCTGGAAAGCAAACTTTTCTAAATCCTGAGTGAGACTTTGGACCACTCAAAGAGGAACAATATGGGCTGACCATGGGGCAGAATAATTTTAGACCATAACAGACACTATTGCATTTGGAGACAATACACACAACTAAAATGAACTGGGTTCTAATACACAGTCACCATGACCTAATGAGAAATTTAACACTTGAGCAAATAAGCTGCCCAAGGTACATGTACAATAGTAATGACATCTAGGCTGCGCTGTCTCCTACTACCATGGTATGCAAACACACCTGGACCTACACAAAACACACAGAAATACTGAGTAATAAAGGCATCTGAAGATGCAACAATTCTGGAGTTAAGAACATCCCATTTCAGAGTTAGACACGGAAAAAAGAACTTGAATGAGCCTGCATCCTAGTGGAACACTATCACTCCTAGTCAACAATGCAATGGCGTATGTTAGGGTAAAATGAAATGGAGTTTTTTTGGGGCCTTTTTTTTTTTTTTTTTTTTTTTTAAAGTGAATTACCTCAGCATCTTGCTCCCGGAGCTGGTACGTCTTCTCTAAGCACTGCAGTATTCTAGGACACAACGTCTTCTCCTCCAAGAGATACTCCAGAAGTAAGACCAGCTGGTCAGGGAGAAGCTAAGAGGAAGATAAATGCCATGTGTGAATAAAGATCTCTACTGACTGAGCAATTAAATGGAAACAAACCAAAGAGGACAAGATTGTGATAACCTGTGTACTTCCAGCATGTGCTTGAAATACAACACAAACTTCTAGCTGGTTTCTGAAAAACATCAGGGTTTTCGTGTCTGTGTTCTTGAAAGACTCTGTTCTGGGGCCCAATTAAGACTCATTTACCATGGTTTTCATTACTACAGTTAGATCAGATCTAAACCATGCTTATCTTACTAAAACATAATCATAGCTTATTAAGTAAGATTTTTATGGAATACATATGCTAAGTAATTCAATTTTTTTTAGGCTTGGAAGGAGTAAAAACCCGAGAACAATTTATAGTGCATAATTTCAGGAATCAACCAGACATATGAATGTATAATTAAGAGTGACATTTTCATCTGTTATAAGAACAATTGCATGATATTCTTACAGTGAACAACACAAATAAGTGACCCACAAAACAAGTGTTGTAATGACACATTTTGAGGCATATTCTAGTACAATGAGTCACAAGTCATCCATCATTCCATGGCAAAGACGCACGAATGTTATGTTTGTGGCACACACAGTATATATCTATCTATACATGTATATATAGATGTAGTTAGTCACCTGACTCCAGAACCTATCATTTTCAAGTTGAACCTAATGTAACCTAGAAAGAAAAAGCAGGAGAAGTCTGATGTAGCAAGTGCTTAAGTGCTCTGTTTAATAGGCTTACTGGATGAACAAATAAATAATTCAAACAGAGCTCAGAGAGAAATTATACCAGCTGCCAGGAAACATCTATTGGAAATTGAAGGTTCAGGGTGATCAGTCAGAAGTTTGTTATATGCCCCAAAGCTTTCCCCACCATTCATCATTGCGGGACACCAAAAGAGGAAGGGGGAGGGGAGGAAGAATGTGAATTTAAGCTTTTGCATACAAAACCCAGCACTGCTCACTGCTGATGTTCTCCAGACAGATTAATGAAAAAAGATATCCTGTTACTTTCACACTACTTCCAGCTTTTATCACATTTGGCGATTCTCTGCTCCTGCCTTGCTGCCCATGTCCCCCTCTGCTGCATCAATGCGCTAAGCTGGTACAAAATGAAGTAGGCTATAGGAAATGCCTCTTCCAAGAACACACCCCACAGCCAGGGCTCTTTATGTGGACTGAACAAGTCTGGACCCCTGATCACTGACAGCAAGTCCATGAAGATATCAAGGATCCTCTGGTAAGTCTTAATCTGTAAAATATCGCTGTCAACAACTAACTAAGCAACATGACATTTTCTTCTCTTCTAGTCTGACATAATTTAGCATTAGTACCTAAATCAGAATAAAGAGGAAAAGAGATCTCTAGGATTTTAATGCTTTGGTTTCCTTGCATTTTGATTTCCTTCCATTTTTTATTATGTATCCATTCTTGGAGACTGAAAAAAACTCAAATCTTACTGGCTTTTACTGGAACATTTCCTAAGTGATACTGAAGCCTGCCAACAAAATGGAGTTGTTAAAAATAGTCAGACATTTAAAAATATTGAATATTTCAATTTCAGGACAACTATTAAAATGCCAACTTGAATGTTTATTGTGCAGTCCAACAGCAGCTGCCTGGGGGATGGTGAGACACTCTAAAAAATAAAACAGGGAAGGTTTCTGGGAAGTGACTCTGCTTGGAAACTGAATTCATTCTGAACACTAATAAAATCTGAAATGTTGCACAACACCACGCACAGAAAGGTAACTTCTGATTTAGAAAGTTTTCTCTGCTAATGACAAAGACAGCAGAGCAATACTTAATTTGTAGAAACTCTAGAACAGCTGCTTGAATACACAGGTACAGAACAGCTGAGAGTTATTTTAATATATCTCCAGTATAATTGCTATACAGATTCACCCACAGAAAGCTATTGTTTAAGATAACATGACAGAATCTCACTGAAGCCAACAAAAGCACAGCAGCAGAGCAACAGCCGTGTCCTTAATTTACCTCTGCCTAGTGCTGCATTATGGGTGAAGAGTTTTCAGAATTACAGGTTAAACTCTTATCAGTTCAGCTTTGAGACTGCAGAGAAAAGAAAATCTGAGACCATGGCTTGTGTTATTTTCCCACGTTCCAGCTGCCCAAGATGAGACTTTACATACCAGTTTCCAGCTCACGGTTTAATTAAAGTCCAAGGTAGGAGCTAGCAAACACTGGCAGAGAGGGTGGGGGCACCAACAGAAGAAATGCTGACAGACCTGTATCCAGAGTGGCACTAGTGGGCGCAGCTATTACATTCTGTTCTCCCACTCCTCCCAACACAAAATGAAAGGAGGAACATTCTCTTTCATTTCTTACCTTTTCCCTTTAATAAAGAGACTCTGCCTCAGAGAAAAACCTCTCCTAAGCAAAGAGGCAGAAAGCTCGGCCAAAGTTTCACAACAGAGACTACTACAAAATTCCTTCAGGGGTTTAGAAACCTTCTTTTCCCCAAACACAGCGATATGAATAAAGCTACTTCCAAAGCAGCTTTTTAACGGTTATAAATAAACTTCATAAAAATTGCACTCGAATTTTCAGTCAAAAAACCCCCACTCCATTATTTTTTGGTTTTTTTCCACCACTGTCCTTATTTGTCCCACCCACCTGTTACTTCTCATCTTTCACACCATGAGAATTGTTTGGGGTGCACGCTGACGATTTTCCATTTGTTTGCATAATGCTTAACACAAAGGAGCCCTTGCTTTTAAGTTCTACCAAAACTTACATGGAGAAAACAAAACGCAAATTTCATTTCAAGTATTGTGAAGCCATTTTCCTTTACAACAACTCATACCCTCATATTCTGAGAATGCATATTGAATATCTAACATACATAAAAAACCCACACAACGCAGATACAGCAAAATACAGCAGGATAAACTTCACTGTGTCAATGTGTATCTCCATGTTGAAAACATTCAGAAAACAACCGTAACACCCCAAACACAAAATTTCAGTCTTCCTGTTAAAAAAAAAAAAATCATATATATATATATATATATAAAATTCACCCTCTGAACTGTATTGGAGCGTGCTCAATCAAAATGCTCAAATATACGCAACTGTTAAAGTAGATCACTTCAATCAGGAAATGTGGCGAGTATCAAGAAATAGTTTTCATTATAGCAATGATTGCTGCAACAGCAGCTATTTATATTGTAAAGCAGATAGCTCCTGTCCCAACCTATGCCTGCCGCTTGGAAATCATACTACTTTTCCCAGGGTTCCCCCTCCCCCAGTTGCAAGTACTGACACTACAAAGAGGGAATAAATTAATATGTTGCGATCAAGCACACCAGAGGTTTTCTGTCATGTCCCATATAATTAAACATCATCCCCACTATAAAGCTGTATCCCAGCGCTGTATACTTTATCTTGCCCTTAAGACTGCTCCTGCAACTCTTCAGCCTTTTCGAAGAGTTCACTTTGTCCTGACACTAAATAGCCATTTGTCCCCTGCTTCCCCTGCGTTACCTGATGTGGTGGTTTTAAAGTTTGAATAATTAGGCTATTACCCTTAAAACAAACTGCAAATGATAGGGAGTATCAAAACGAGGTCTATATTTGAAAAAGGCAAGATGAAAGAATGAAAGAAAATGTAACCAAATCGAAAATAAAACTCAGACTATTACCGAAGCAGCTTACTGGGGCTGAGATTCAATGTATACTAAATATCTGGGAACTAAGAAAAAGCCTACTTTGTATTTTAGTCATATCGGTACACAAGACACTTAAGCCATTATACTGTGTTACAAGAATATCTCAAGACATCAGTAGGTTTGAAAGGGTTTCTACAAATAATCTTGGAACAAAACTATGAGTTTTCTGAATCCTACCCCTAACCTGTAAAAAGCACAAAGAAAACAAATCTTGCCTCTTCAAAGATCTGGTATGGCAGCTACGGAGTTCATCGACCTCACAACCCAGAAGACCACCCACGCAAAGGAGCGTATTTATCAATTCCTACATTAACAAATGCAATAAATGCCAGATTCACCCTTTATACTAGAAAAAAATGCCACTGAAACATTTGACTACTGACCTTTCACAGCCATGAAATGTGACACAGATATATCTACTTGAGCATCCACAGCACCAGCGCTTGCACTGCACCCCTAAGCTAGGACACAAATCACTAAAGTAGTACAGCTGGTATGCTGAATATCCCATTTGCTCCTGCCTGCACTTGAATGAAGTCATTGAAAGCCTCCTCGGAGGGGAAATGTGCCTCAGACTAATGCAGCAACCGATTGACAGTGGCGTGATTTCTATTATTACTCCATTATCACACTGGGATCTGTGCCTAAACGAGCATACTTCCTCCCTGATGCCATTTCCTTTTATCCTGGCTCTAGTCTAAAAGCGGATCAATGGGAGTAATATATATGATGTCACTTCAATTTACAGCTACTGCCTCCCTCTCTCGCGTGCACAGATAGATCGATTCTTCCCAAAAATGGTTAAGAAATGCACGGGGAGACTCTTCTCCCAGAAAAGGGTTCTCTGCTATATTTGTCTGTGTAACCACAGCAAGGAACTGTTTACACTGAGCAAAAACAGGGGGGAAAGGAAAAAAATGTCACTACTGTGCTCTGGAAAATGCTGGCTGAAACACAACACAAACAAGGCCCAAAACAGAATTAAAGCAATCTGACCTTTGAAAATTATACAGAAAAGTTTCACGTTTCTAAGGCACAATATATTTCTCCCGTATTTCTATGGGAGAAGGTAGTCTCGTCCCCTGTCCCCGCTCTCCCGCCCCCAACATGAAACGTCTTTACATTTTTACAAGATTTTCCAAAGTCAAACCGGATTCCTTCCCACCCCTCTCTTAGGAAAGAAAGGGAAAAAAATCCACCCCAGAGTTCATTAGTGAATGGTTTCCTTCAGACGGAATTTCCTCATTAATTGCAGATAAGAAAGCACTGCTACTAGTCCAGGAGACAGGA